GCACACATGTTGACACTACTGTGGCTACATTGACGACACAACATTTACCCATATCACCACTTCTTTCCTCCTTCACACTACATTTACCCATATCACCACTTCTTTCCTCCTTCCTTTTTGGCTCGAGGTTCTCTTCTCGAATGTACGGCAAAAGCTCCCATTGTCTCATTGAGGAGCACCCACCTTTTCGACTGCTACCTTTTCTTTGTACTTCCCAGCTTCCGCATTTTACCTCGGTCAAGGCACGAGGATATGAACTCCCTCAATTCGTTCCCTTATCAAACTCCATCATATACGGTATCGTTCGAGAGCTCATTCGTTGCTCGAGGACGAGCTTACTGTAGGAAGGGAGATGTCGCATCATCGTCAGTCGAGGACACCTGCCACGCTATACTGGTGGAGTATATATAATGAGCAAGCTGGCAACAACGCTGCTGCTGTCGCTACTCCACCACTCCCCACTCGGCCCGTCGCCTCGGCCTAAGCCGAAGGTCTCTTACCTCTCCATGTCTTTTATTCCCCCATATAATATTCTTAATGTATTAAACATAAAGTATTAATATAATCTGTTTGGTACATCAAATACCGCTACACATCAGAACTGGGCCAGGCCAGCCTATATTCTGATAAATCCAGCATAAACAAAACTACAGGATACAGCCCATACTTCGTCGTACATGTGGATTCCCAATAACGTGGAGCGACATTCTCCAAGAACTCCCTTCCAATAGTTCTTGGGCATCCGACGACTTTGCAGTTTGCAACCAGCCTGAAGACGTTTTATGGATGTCGACAGAGAAATCGCTTCAGAGACGGTGCAGTACAAACTTGGATACGACTATACATACAACAAAGTATATTCAAAGGACATTTCCATTGGGAATTTCGTTCTTTTGCATGACGACACGGTCCGTCCAGAACCTACTAATCAATGGAAAGACCCTTTTATAATTAGAGAAATCAATCGTCCTAACGCGACTATTGAGAATCTAGTAGGTAAATAAATTATGAGTTGTTCACATTCTTCGTCTTGAAATTCATCCTTCGCGTTCGACGTCAACCGATCCTTCCGCCCAAACTAAACACCACCACCTTTTCTACAAGCTATTAGGTCCATAGATAGTTCTTAATTGTAAATTTGAGTCTCCTTTCTTCTTTCGCCGCAATGGCGCGGATGCTTCCGAATTCTTTGAAGGTTCAAAGAGTTGCTTCCGCAGCGTACTCACTAAATTCAATTACATCAAAGTTCATAATCACGCCCTTGTACTAGTCGACACTAGTGTGCCGTACAATACTAAGCTCGAATGGAAAAATATCACGTATCACAAGACTGTTTTTCGTCTCATTATTCACGAATGGCACACAATCACGAAGTTGTCGCCTATGAGTATCATCAGTGGCTCCACAACTTACCAACATATTAGCTCATTATAATTGAAAAAAAGAAAAAATGCCTTTTCCTCATTTTCATGATCACCGTAACAGTTATATAACAAGTAGGAGGAATTCCGTAAAATTATAGCAAGTAGAAGTAATTCCATAAAAAGTTGGAAAGTAAACTACATAGCGTCTATCGTTTACTACAAGGCGTCAAGTTATGATTACGCAGCAGTTTTTAATCCCAGCCTCCACCCCTACTTCTTTACCACGCCTCACTACTGTTTGGCACGTGTACGAGCATGTTTTTAGAAATGGCGAAACTTAGCCGTTCCAATCTACGGCTTATTCTCAACTAACCATTCCGTTCTAGTGTTTATTCTTCTTATTGCAATGTACCCACTGGCGCGATCTATGATGTTCTTCCAGCTTTCAGTATGACATCCATATTTCAATGTGGTATATGTTACTGATGTCATACAAGACATTTCATTTTTTTTTGCAGCACTATGCTTTGAAGAATGCCAATGCCGCGAGCTTCGATTGTGGCTCCTCCTCGAGCTACAATCGAAGCTTTTTAGACGAATCTGGAAACGATTCGCTGACCCCGGAGGGATGGAAGGCTTGGTTGGCCTGGGAAGATATCGATCCGGAATTTTAACCCGTGACCATGCGTGTGTGAAGTGTGCCTCGCATCTGCCCGAAGGTTTGTAGTAGTTCGAGGAAATATATGTTTGGCCGGTTAAAGGGATGGTCGGAGGTTGTGTGGTGGCAACTGTCCTTCACACACGCACGGTCACGACTTGAATCCCAGATCGATCTCCACTGGACCAAACAAGCCTTCCATCTCTACGGGGTCGCTTGATAGGTACCAGACTCGTCTGAAAGGATAAAAGCACTGACTTCCATCGTCTGGCCACCGCAATTTGTTGTATAAAGCCTACATGTATATTCATCAATACACCACTACGATTCTAAATGGAAGTCGAATGCATGGGCGCATCCCTCAGGCAGGATCGGTTGACGCCCGAATTCTTTATCGAGACTCTAGACTTTATGAACACAACAGACAGATTGTTGCGAACCAGCCAGATTCTGTCAGACGGTTCCCCGTCTGACAGAATCTGGCTGGTTCGCAACAATCTGTCTGCTTATAACTGATGATGAAATTAGTTCTATCCGTTGACAGCATTCGGTTGGGGAAGGTTTATATGTTTCGGAAAGACTATGGAAAACTGGAGTGTTTGGGTTATTCATTTTACGTCTACTGTCCTATTTTTTTCAAAACCAGCAGAACTGGCGGCATTTAACAAGATAGACTAATGCGAACATATTTTTATGAATTTGTTTCTACAACATAATTCTCTTATTGTTAGCAACATGGTCGCAAACTGAGGACTAGCTAAGACGGAGTACGATTATGATCGACGAAGTGATTGGGACATAACAACGCACTCGCCGTCCTTGATCATTCGCTGATATGCGTAAAATATTAGGTTGATGCATAATTATTGCGAATTTTTTCGCGGCTTCTTTTCTATCGATGTAAGTCAACTTTTGAATTCGCGTTTTTTGTCGAAATAATCATCTCGCTTTCCTCAACAGAGATATGCCTAGAAATCATCTTCATATACGCCACATTATGCTCTATTACTTCGAGAAATGATGGGAGGCGGCACACTTATAACGTGATCTCAACGAACTTCTTGACGATGGAACAGTTAGCCAAAGCCGTATAAAGGATAGAATTTACTTCTACGGTCGCCCCATTCACCAACAAATACTCCTATGGTTTATCACGTCAATCGCCCTTTGAAAAATTGGTTAACGAACACAACTTTCGACGACCTGGATAGCTTGATGGCCAACGTCAAGGCGTGATCGCCTACAAGAATCGAAACTTTCTCACCTGTGAAATCCGACCGCCTAGCAAATGGGAAGCAGTGCTTGACGTAGATGGTGGATATGTTCCGGAGCAATTATTTGAACATGTCTTTGCTAAACGTTTCTATCGTTTCTTCAAGTAAAATTTGCTGAAAAAAATCCGCAATAATTATGCATCAACCTATTATCACTAGATTTTAACTCGCGTAACTTTTTCATTTCCTGCCGTTGTTTGCACTTGCTAATTTCATGTTCGTCCTGTCTTTCGAATATATTCTTTCTCTTCAGAACGGTTGAGGCCCTTTGCTGATACTATCCAAAAATGTTTAATTTCTGTGGAGACCCCTTTGGTTGTGCTATAGAACGGCGGTAAAGGATGCTGTGAAAAGAAATTGTCCTTATAATAGAGTCGATCTTAAAAAAACGTCACAAATAACTTCCGGCTAATAAGGGCCCGAGTGGATGGACGGTGAAGGAATCGAAAAATCCTCGAAAATAGCTAGGTATTCGCGACTAGGTGCGACTTTTCAGATCACAGGGAGATTTGTAAAATCCTGCATTCGCAGCTTTAGCAAAATGAGCTTGTTAAGAGAGGAAGATACTTGGAAACTGGTGCAAGTTCGGTCCGACCGTCTGGGAACGTTAGGTCTCTTGTTGAAGGTCATTCGACCGAATACATGACCACGGATTTGAATGAACAAGGCACTATTAAGATTGATGGCAATAACCGTACAGCGTAAGTGTTTTTATCTTCGGATATGTAAACCGCATCTAATGTTAGTCTAGCTTCCAAAGTAAATTGGGCCTGCTCGAAGGGCGCTCAGTGACTGGTGTTCTCCACGACCATAAGATACCAGAGCGCCTCAACTCGAATATCTACAGGACTGCCATACGACCACCCGCGATTTAATGTCCGAAGTGGCTGGTCTGTAAACAGAGAATTTGAAGCACGTCTCGGAATAATACAAACGAAAACGAAAACAAGAATGCCTGACGTCACACTTTTGGACCGCGTTCCCGAGGACGCAATAGTTCAGCGTTTGAGAGTAGCCCTATTGCTGACGAATGTGCGAAGCTAGTCTCCGTTAGCACGATCATGTCCTGCGTGGATCCAAAAACAAATTCGCTACAACCTCCAGGTCCCCGCAAACCGTCTTAAGAACGACCAATGCAGCGCTTTCTTGACAAATTGCAAGAGGGCTTGAAATGAATCGTCCCTCTTCCTGACCAAGTCAAATAAAGTGGCGTCAACTCCCCAGAAAGGCGGTCCTCGCCTTCAAATGGAACAAAACTAAAAAATAGGATCTACTACTGGATACAGTGCTGCCACCGACATTTAATCTTGTCCTATGGCCTTTACTGTTTCTCCCCTTCGACGACTACGCATGAGAGAACGTACATGTAATATCTGTCATTTGCAAAGATAGAGATGAACAACACTAACGAAAAAGTTTGGCAGGTCGAGAGGATAGAGAATGAAAGTTCTAATTTAAGCACATATACGAATAATTTGCCAACTTGCCGATGTCTTTTGATTCACCTAACCAAGAACGCTTCACATTTATTAAAATTTCGCATTGAAAACCCCATTCTGGGCACATTTCGACAAAAGAAATTGTAACAACGCCTTCACTCGGACAAGCTCAAGAATATAACTTTACCAAGTAACAGTGTGTAAAGATCACAAACAAAGCGTGCTTGAAGCACACGCTCAACTAGAGTCGTATTAGCTAATATTTTCAACTCTGCGCACACTGAACTTGTGGTCCGTGATGTGCATGTCCACCCATCTCTTCATCTGATCCATCTTCGTCGTATGCTTGGCCAGCTCTTCCTCCACGATATCGCTTCTCATCGTACTCCATTAATGATACCTAGGACAGCATCAGTAACATGGCAACAATGATTTGTTTTGCAAAAAATACTCGAAAACTGAAAAAATACACTGTATAGCAAAATGACATATTCTAGAAATAACGCGCTTGCGTCTCTCTGCTTTTTTGTTGGCATGAAAGCCAAAGGTGAGGGATGAGTCGCCTACGGTAGGCGGAGCGTTCTTACAGTGTGGTATCTTCTATGTGAGTACGTAACTCGATTTAACGAAAGCGTACAGACTAGAAAAGAAATAAGGGAGTGAGCAAAGCCTCAGGCGTGCTGGGACGCATAACATGGAGAAGATCGATAGGCGGAGCGGCCTTCAAACGTTAGGTTCTTCATGGTTGATTCTGTTCAAAAACGAACTAGAATGGGAAGAAGTGAGTGCAAAAGAAGATGAAGCCATGAAGTGGGCACCAAGATGGGCGGACTGAGATTAAAAACTCATCTGCTCTCAAATGTTCCAGAACGATGGAAAAAAAANAAAAAAAAGATTAGAGGTAACAGAAGAAATGTATGTAGATCCCTGAGGTATGTGGAGGCAAAATCAAAATTCATGACTATGTTCAAAAACCTCCTAGATGTTGCAAAAGTAGTTAGAGGTATTAGAAGGAATGTGCCAAATCTTCTAAGTGGGTCACAATTCTGCTCCAAAAAGTTCAGACACAGAGAAAAAATGAGCAAAATTCAGGAACAGGGGAACACTTCAGAAGAATTGACTCATTCGCGGTGAGCCAAGCTTTCCCGAACTTTTTACACAAACTCATAACCCACCACAGCATATGGCCAAATTCTCGAGGGGTGAAGCTCAGATCAAAAAATTCACCTCTCTTTTCTGAGGATTTGCACTAGCATGAGCGGGGGTGAGATCAAAACTTGCAACTCTGTTTAAAAGTATTCTAGAACGAAAGAAGTGTTTCGAGCTTACAGAAGTGATTTCGAAGTCAGCGGGTCAGCACTAACGGCTAGATCAAAAAGCTTCTTCTATTCAATAAGGTTCTAGAATGCGGAGAAAATGGTTAGGCTAAAAGAAGGTAGTCAAATAACCACGGTGGGTGGGATATGTGCAGGGAACGTGACCGACGCACTGCGAGGCAGATTACGCCGCGATTCTGATGCGGTCGCACCTTTCAGATGAGGTGGGTCAAACAAGATTTGTTCTAGTCCATGGTTCAATCATGGGCTAGAGCAAATCTTGTGCTGGTCCATGGTTGAAAATGTCTTTATTATGGCAATCAAGATTACTAAACGTTTAAAATGAGAATGTTCAAAATGCTCTGATCCTGACAAAAGCAAACTTTCTGCAAACTTGAACAAAATGATCTTGTTTTTGCCTCTCTAAGGTTTCTATTTTTCCCATGAAGATAATAGGCATAATGTTATGCCGCAACTCGTCCATGGCACCGCGTGGCCGCAGGTTCCCATTTCCACGGGGGCACGACCTCATTATTTCCGCGCGTGATTTGCAACACATCAGGTCTGCACTGATGTTGGCAGAGCTACGACCAAAAATCCACAACTCTACCCAATCATGTCGGCAACGTTTCATATTCGTTCTATGTACTGAGTTATTATCACTAGTTATTATAGGTAGACCAGTTTGAACCCTCTAGGTCCAGGGGAATAAGAGTTAAGAATCTCCGGTCAACCACACATACACACAAAACCAACAGAGACAAGGGTGGAGGTGGTGTAGTGGCAAGTGTAGTGGTGCACTACTATACGTGCATGGCCACGAATTCAAATCCCGGCTATCAAACCGTCAAACCAACCAAAGCTTCCACCCCCCTGGGTCGTTATTGGTACCAGACTCGTCTAGGAGGATAAGGCACTGGCTTATGCATTGGTTGGCCACCGCAAGTCAATGTATAGGCCAAATAAGCATTCAATACGCTACTACTATTCTGAAGTAGAATGCGCGGATGCGTGTGTCAGATGGGATTGATTAACGCCCCAGGGCTCTATCCTTTTACCAACAAACACATTTCACGCCTTATATATCGAAGGATAGTTCGCTTCTGCCTGTTGTCTGCCTACCTGCTTGAAATTCGGTTTTACCTAAACAAGCAATTGAAGAGGTCGAAAAAGTTTGAAAAGACTGAGGCCTCCGGCAAGTTCTACGGAGTACGCATGAGCTCACAGGAATCCGACTCACAGGGGCTAGAATATGCACAAAATGGGTGGTGCAGTGATAAAAAAAAACTTCATAATTTTACAGAGGCTAATCCGCTGCGAGCGAAGCGTGATCGGGGGTTTTGCACCCACCTCAGCCTACAGCCAACTTCTTGAAAGGTGAAGCCCGCAGGGGAAGGGCTAAACTTCTCAAGGAACTTCGAATGGAGACTCAGGCATATTGATCCCGTTCAAAATGCTACTTGAGTTTCTCAAAAAAATTATCAGCTCCGAAATTGGCTCGGAGATAGTTTCAGTTTAATTAAATGCGCAGCTGGTCGCATCACTTCAAGCGCCTCTTTGACTCAGAGGTAAAGCTCTTTCCTCGTCAGTTGGAGGTTAGTTGTTTGCTTCCCGTCGTCTTTGCAACTAGTAGTGCAAAGCGTGATTTTTTTTTCTCAAGCATGGATTTTGTAACCTGCAGCAGCAGCGGCGTCTACTGATCTGCCGGGTCGAAGTTTTTAACTGCCTTTCTGTACCGTGCCCTGTTTTAAAGCAGTTGATTCATATCTGGATAGCACCATGTCATAAGTGCAAATTTGTGAACAATATGCTCCCTCACAGCCTTCGATTGTTTCATCAATGTTTTTACATGTAACTATTCCGCGATTTTTTTTCGTGCGTTTCAATATCGAAAATAATAGGGTCATACGCGAATGAATTACGCGCAGAAANAAAAAAAATTATAAAAGAATCCACTGAGAAAAAAGCACGCTATGCAGGATCCGCGACGACGGAAAGCAAGACCCTAACCGCCTGACAAGCGAATACACTACTCTTGCGCCAAGGGGCTCTTGATGTTATGCAGATAGCTGGGCAGTTAAATTAAACTGAAACTACCTTGTAGCAAATTTTGAGAGCTCATAACTCTTTTGGGAAACTCACTTAGCAGTTTTCACTTCTATATTCGTGAATAGAACGTGAACTCTATTGATATGCTCAGCTGTCCATTCAAAGTTCCACGGGAATCTAAAACTCTTTCCTATACAGATTGAGAAAACTCATCTCTGCTCGATGCGTTCTTTGTTGTGTTGCACGCTTTAAGTGCGCTTCTTTAAAAAATAGGCAAAAAAAGAAGCAATTGGAAATCTTGGAGGCAGGTGAAAAGAAAACTATGACACTAAGCGCCTTCACTGTCGGGGCTCATCTTAAGGGAGCTTGCACAACCTATTAATGTACAGCCTCCAAATAAATCTATTTATGAATTCACTTCGTGATAAGCAAATATGCCACAACAGCAAGGCAAGGGTGTGGGGTCTTCTCCCCTAATGGCGCGTCGCGCTGAGGCGTATCGCAGAAATGCGATAGTTGATTGGAGAGCGCAATGCATGCGTCAGATTTGCGAAGTATGGTTGGCTCGTAATGATTTGCTTCTGTAAAACCCTATTTCTTGTAAAACCCCTATTACGCGAACTTGCTCAACACGAAACAAGACTAAAAAAATCAAAACAAAGCAAAAAAGCAAAGTAGGCAACTAAGAATGTCGATCACCGGAACGCGGGCCGAAAACGGTAATTGCAGTTTGAAGACGCGAAACAAGTAAGGATTGCCGTATGCGGCTCAGCGAAAGTGAAAATTCAGAGAAATGTTCCGTCACCCGCAAGGCGAAGCCAGATCTGTCTGTACTAATTTCGACTGCGATACAGTTCAGCGACCATTTTCCAAATATACGCTCATACACGCCCACCCTATAAATGGTCGAGCCAAGATCCAATAAATTTTAAAAATTCAAATCCTAAACGCGCGAGCAATAAGATCCTTCAAAATTATGTATGAATGAGAGTGGTAAACAAAGCCAACGCTTCTATGTAACGAGAAAGTACCCCTTAGTTAATGAGATATAAAAAAGTCGATAACAATACTAACCTCTTCGCTATTTGGAGGATGCGCAACTTTCCGAACGGGAGGAAATGCTGATTCAATAATCTGAAAATGAACAAGAGATACTGCTGAAGCTTTTCAAATAGAATATCTAAAGAATTAAGCGAATTAATCAGGTGAAATCTATTAAGGGAGCCCTACCTTGTACTTCGACTCATCTTCAAGAAAATGTTCATTAGGAAATACAACATCAAACTTTATGTAGAGATTTCCGCGAATGTCATGATGACGCCTTTGTGGCATGCCTTCCCCTACGATGCCACGCACGCAGTCTGCAGAACATGGGCATTAATAGAGTCTCGAACCAATGAACGAACCATGATCAACATCTAACACTTGCATATGACTACTAAATAAGTTTTCCAAAAAGTGCAAGTATGCTAAAACGGAAGGGGAGCACTTCAGACATACCTGGAGTTATTATGTCACCCGGTTTGTTTTTAAGAATTAAAGTACGCCCATCCAAGTGTTTCAAAGGAATCTCATAACCACACAAAGCTTCGTTTAACGATATAGACCTGAATGAAAAAAGAATCCAAGGAAGCGATAAAATGGCGCCTAGCAGCGAAGGTAACTAGAGAAATACGCACTTCTTCGCAATCAGGTCGTCACCTTCCCTCTCGAACACATCATGAGGTTTAACCTGTATCACAATGACAACGTCACCAGGTTCGATGTCTGGCTAAAAAAACAAGTGAAAGAAAATACCAACGCTGCGGTCCTTAAACAGGATTTGCTCTGGTCAACATATATTGACAGGAGGTTTTCCGCCTGCTTGATTTTATAGAAACGTTTTTAAAAAGATCAAGATCAAAAAGAAAGAAAGTAAAATAAGAAAGAAAAGAAAATGGTGCAAAGAAAACAAACGAACATCGGATTGGTCCCCTTCGCCTGGAAATGTAATCTTGTCATTATGCCGCATACCAGGTTCTACGTGAACCTAAAAAATCAAAGAGTTTCATCAACGTTTGTGCCATAACATGCGGAACTTTGAGGAACCTCCCGGCTACTTGTCAGTACCTCTAAAATTTTTTTCACTTCTTCACACCTTTCTCCCTTACAATTGACACATTTATCGGATTCAGGAATTCGAGAACCTGAATAGATTAACATTGACAACCTGTGTTCCCAAAAGAATTTCTCTACCAAATTTATAAAAAGAAAAGTGTCCAATGAATAAAAAACATTAATACCATCTCCTCCGCAATCACTACATCTGACTTGCATTTGCTGAACCATGCCAGGCCCTATTTGTTGTACGAGATTTTTCACTCCTCTACCACGGCAGGAGTGACATTCGTAAGACTGTCCGGTTTTTCCACCACTCCTGAAACAATAAGCCATTCATGAAACAATGAAGATGAAGTTACCAGTCTATCTCATTCTCATAATTGAAAAACTCAAGGATGGGGAAATGATGTCTCACGATGCCCTATTTCCTTCCACCTACAAGAGGATTATGTTCGAATCTCAACATATGTATATGGATGGAGTTTCATGAGCTCCCGTATAAAATGGTTGAAGTTTTGCGGCAAAATCAATGTGAAAAGGATGCAAGTGTTGAAGAATTCAGTTATCACTGTACAAGTTTCTTGTATGACCAATTAACAGTGATGATGCAGAACAATCGAAAAGTGTAGCCAAAAGTACGACAAAGTAGTAGAAGCCCACATGAAAATGAAAAGGCGAAAGGGTGGAAGTGGAAGACCTAGGTCGGTATGTGAAAAAAAGAAACGGCAAGGCTACTCTTGAAAGGTTAATGAGCACGAGAAGTCACAATTCTAAATAAAAATGTAGCAAATGCAGCTGATAAGAAGAACAGAAACTTTGAATCGCAAATGAATTCCATATCCACCGGAAGTCACTGTGTAGAACACGTACGCATTAAAACGCCACTATGATTCTGAATAAAGCTAAATGCGAGGACAAATGCCAAAAACGGAACTGATGGTCGCCAGAGAATTTGTCCGTTTTCCTGGTAACTTTTTAAATATCGAAAGTGTGGAAGCTCGCTCTACGATATTTTCTTAAAACGAAATTTCCATTGCTTGCCTTCTCTACAGAAACCTGATCCAAAGAATACTCGCTATATTATCCTTATTCACAAGAGCCTTTCGAAGAGACAACTTGCTCGAATCATTTGCATATAAAGAGGGGCTTTGCAGTGAGGTATTGGTGTCACCTTCCCTCGACTGTTCGTCGTAGAAGTTTCTCATCAAAATTTTTATCAAAGGCCAGCTCACGATAATTTATCCAGATTATAAGGAAAAATGAAAGAGAAGGTGAAAAGTAGTGAGGTGAAGGCAAAGAAAGCGCGGTTGTGAATATTCCTGAAGTGATAAAGGCTTCGAAAAGTCGTTAGAAAGGGGACTGGACGAGAGTGAGAAAAGAAAAATGAAGTAGGAGTGTTTGGGAGAGCTATACAATGTGTGTCCTTGCGTACGTGTGTCCCGGTGCGGATAGCTGACTACGGTAAGCAAAAATGTTTTTTAAAATCCATACCCTCATAAGCATAAGTTGAAAAAAACACTATTAACAGCAGAAAATGCCCGCTGCTTTATTATCTTGATGCAGAAAATAAGATAAAGGACCGCAGTAGCAAAGAGAGTAACATAAAGTAATAGACTAGGAGAAAACGCCGCCTCTTCACTCGGCGATTGCGTGCTGAACGTGTGGGTCCTGGCGCGAATATTGCAATCTGTATCGCCTCGTCACTCCTCGAGCACGTCGTCGGTCCACAGGGGTGGTACCCGACATATCAAGTAATGGGCCCTACAGTGCCCTGGCTCTTGAGTTTTTGGGCCCGACATAATCCCTTCTGTGACCCTTGGGGACCACTGGGTAGTCCTGAGTGGAGATCTAAGAAATACTTTTATCGCGAACTGTGCCTTCGATACTGGAAACCGAAGGGGGTTTTTTTTACTAAAAGTAGTCGTATGAAACGATATGTCGAACATTGAATGCGAAAAGTGGTCATTCTTAGCTAAGTTTGTAAATATCTCCTAACCTTTGCTCTTTGCGGCATGTTGCTTGTAGCTTTCCATTCGTGTGGTCATGCGCCATTTAGCACTACCTCCTAGTGACAAGTTGCAGTACAAGATATAAACTTCGCATAATTGGGCTGAGGTGCAGTTCCCTTCTCAGACGTTGTCGCAACATGGGCCTACCGTATGCTGTTCTATTACGAAGTAGAAAAAATTAAAACTTATTACACACCTAAAACTAGGTCCGTGTGGCCTTATCATCCTACTTTTCACCAATATTCAGTGAAAAAATAGAGGACATCTCATCATATCTTCTGTTCAGTAGAATACATTACATTACATCAGATTCAATCGCTCTTATTCAAAATTAGGTGTGAAGCCGGTCATGGAGAGGGTTGACCACAAACAACTACAACTACTTTCCTTATGCCGCCTTTAGGAAACAAGCCACTGTTTTCGACCAGTTGTCAGTGCTCTGTAAAGAGATTTGATCCCTATGTTCAAGAGACTTTCGGATTCAATTCTCGGAATACTACTCGTTTTTTGTGTCTCTGTACGAAGACAGGTTTAGTCGAAATTGATAGAAGTCACGAAATCAAAGCTCATTTCTATTATCGTTTCTGTCCTGCCTTTTCCCTGACAAACCGCAAATCTAATACTTCGATAAGCACTCGCGAAGCTCACAAAGATAACCTGTGAAATTGATTGCCATACATACGCCCTCAACCTGCATTTTGGTCTTGCGCTGGTACGAAAGCAGCTGTTGTGGGCAAAAACTGTATGGTGGGGCATAAGAATGGTGACAAAATAATTTTACTCCATTTGCAAACGGAGTTATCGATTTGTTGTAGAAACAACGACAACGCTTGCACATACACAACAAACAAGAAATTACATTTCTCGCTTACAAAGAGCTCGGACTAGATAACTTCCTTCAGGCGGGCCAGATTCGATTTGACTGTTGCCCGGATGGCATCCCGTAGAAGCGAACGAACTAAACCTTCTAACGTCCTTAGGTTCTCAGACCGACCGAATTGAGAAGTTCATTACATTCAAATCAAGGGAAAGGGGGTCAGATTTATGCCGCTACAAAGCCGGTAAAGTAATCTCGGCATCACTTTACATCGAATGCCATCGGATGACATGCAAACTGTTGCTGGAAAAACCATTCAGTCTCAGGAAACTGAATGACAACACATCTCTTCAAAATTTTTCGAAATGTAAATGTAATAATTCAATAATTTTGCAGTACGCGAATTCGCAATCATTTCTGCCCAAACCATCACTGCAGGATGTGATCCACTCGTGACTGCTTACCCGGCTCTATCGGCTTCTTCAGATGTCAAAAAAAGTAAACGGAAGCTCTACCGGTCGAATATCTGAGCAATCGTGCAAACTCTTTCGTTGGTGAAAAAGGTCCTCGAGCGTACATCGCTTGCGGCCCTCTTAGGAAGCTGCTCGCATCTTCCAACCCTACTCATCTCAGAGTGTACGAGAAGGCCTGACTTTTATCGAAACTGTTGGAGCACGTCCCGATCCAATTCTGCCCTATCCTTCTCATCGTTCAACTTGAAACTTACAAATCTCTGACCACATCCTGATGCTCTTTATCTTCTTCAAAAAGCCACATTCTCAAAAATTTCTCGATTAATGGCTGCCGAAGATGTCGACCTTTGCGAGGACGAAAATGAAGCGCGCCTCTTCAATGAAAAGCATAGCGATGCATCATGAAAATAAGGCATACGTCGGTAGGAATATGTTCGGCTGCGTTAATGTAATAACATCAGCTCGATACGGATGAGGTGACACCATTTTACCAATACAAAGCACGAAACCAGGGAATATACACTGAAAATGTGGCATATTCAACCAGCCAAAAGCCATCCTCACCGCTTTATCAAAGAGATGTGCTACTATGATTATGCCTACCCCCCTCCCCCCCCGCCCCCTTTTGAATTTGCCCATAATGAGCCAACATTCAAACAAAAAGCTAGGTTTGTTCAGGTAATTCCCTGAAAAAAGCGAAGCAGTGAAGTATGCGCTCTTTTTCTTAGAAGTCTACCCGTACGAACGCCCTCCCTATTTGGTACGGGTGGCCTTCATCACGACGCCCACACAAAGGCGCGCGTTTGCAGTGATTGTCCGCAAGATGCCGCCGTAAAATATCGGCCATTTTTTCGCACAAAGAATCGTTGATTAAACATAGAAGATGAATTTGAATAAGTTTCTAGCCCGTATGCTTATGTAATTTGAATGCTGACAACTACGACATTTGACATTACTAATTAGTTGATCTATGTTTCGGAAACTTTGGAAAGCGGCAAAAGGTGGTTTCGATAGCATGGAATGGTGTTTCGATAGTACAGTAACAACGTACCCTTTGCATTTCGTGCATAGTGCCTTCTTGGATAATCGGAGTTTCGACGTTTTACCCATATAAACTTCTTCGAGACTGACATTCAGAGGATACACAGTATCCTGGAACTTCCGTCGAGTTCGACTGAAAAACTCAATTTATAGCTAAAAATTATGTCGGGAACAAGGGTTTTCTCACCGTCGTCCACCACCCATTCCAAAAAATCCGCTGAAGGGTGAATCGTCATCGTCGCCAAATATATGGGAAAATAGATCTCCTCCGAAACCGCCTGGAAGCGAAAATAGTTGTTACCTGTCTGTAGGAGAGTACAACTAAAAGGCTTAGTGATTTTCTCTTCACTGCTTACCTCCGCCGCCTCCCTCTTTGATAGCATCCAAACCTCCAATATCATACCTTCGTCGCCGTTCTGGATTGGATAGAATTTCGTATGCGAAACTTATCTCTTTGAACTAAAATTGAACATGGAATCTAATTGTATGGAAACATAACTTTGCGTGCAAGCGACTTGGCGCTTAACGATTCTAACAACCAACCTGGTCCCCATGATTGGGATTTTTGTCAGGATGAAATTCTTTAGCTAGCTTGCGATATGCCTGGAAAAATAAATTAGGCTCAAAACATCCTCCATATTCATCTCTCAACTCAAAACAGACTTAGCGAGCTAACCTTAGCTGCTTGCTCAATGTAAAAAGGCTAAATCTACAATGTTTTAGTGGAGGAAATGGAAGCATGATGTTAGGTAACAACCGAATGGCGTCCCAATCCCACTTGTAATGACGTATGGGACAGAACATTCCAAAGATAGAAAAGTGAAGATATTCCATACTATCTCACCTTTTTAATGTCGTCATCACTGGCGTCAGGCTTCACTTTAAGTACATCATACAGACGAGTATCGACTGGACCGTCTTGGGCCCTACCCATACCACCCAGTCCGCCGTGGAAGAACATACCTCACCTTGAAAAATAGTGAAAAGAAGCTAAAGAACTAGTTATTAAAGCAAACGCTGTTAACAACACCGATCACTGAGGTAGTCACCATGAGCTAAGTTCTCGAACATTCAGAACACGCCATATGCGCCAAACCGAATCTGCGTCAACAGGGTCCCGTGAAAACTCGTCTGCGGTGATTGGATTGCTTTTTCGATGTGCTCGGTGAATTTCCAGTGGTTCTCTCAGCAAATTCAGATCTGCACTATGGGTGCAAGTAGTTTGAAAGGTGTTCATAGGATCTATAACATGTATTAGTATGTAGTTGTTTAAAGAGTGTCGAGTTTCCAAGTAAAGTGTGCCTATCGTGGCATACAAACGAAACTGTAGTCTGTCCCTTTATACGGAGCGTGAACGAAGTGTTCGGTGAAAGTCAATATAAATAGTCAAGGCGACGCATTATAAATAATCGCTGTTCTCAGCCATGTCTTGATAAGATCGTTGATCAGAAAATGTGCAAGAAGCAGATGATTCGCTGACGACATGAGGCTTCAGAAACGAAAATTCGATATGGGCACTTGGCTCTTACAGTGATCCACTAGCTTCTCTTCCATACACCCGTGTCTTCGCCCAAGGCCCCTTTTCGACGCGTCGTATATGTGACGGGTGAGAATTTTCGTATTGAAATGGGGTTACTCTAATTTTGCTTACCCCCCTAAGATGTAAAATAAATGTACTTCACCGAAGATGAAATAAAATTTATTTGCGCTTCTATCACACTCGAAGCAAGCATGTGATGACATACCAATCGACGATCTCGGTGAGGCCGATATACTGTTCAATGAAATTTTACGCAGAAATCGTGATAAACACGTAAGCGCAGAGGTTCTACAATTTTTTTTNTTTTTTTTAAAGACATAAGTGTTACACAGATGAGGCGAGTGGAGGAAAACCTTCAAAACTAGCTGTACAATAAAACTTTCTACCGAAAGGCTCATGAGATTTGCAAAAAAAAATGGCCAGGACGCCTGAACAATGCCGGGCTCTTCTCCTTCTTATGTTAAGTTCAAAATGTCCCCTTTCCTCCTCGAAAAAAAGAGTAGTGAGCAGGAGTCCCTTTCCACATCGAGTAGTAGAACAATCCACAGGTCAAAATCGATTGCTGTTATCGGTCGTTACTTTACAGCCTCAATCTCTCTGCATCTCTCCGACTTTCTTGAAGTTGGAACACTGCGACTGAAGGAAATAAAATTATGATTGAGCGGTCAATTCACAATGGCTTGATATAGCATATTGGTGAATCAGCCGACATCATTAACACTACATTGAGTTCCCCACATCCCCCTTGCCTCTTCCCGGCTACTAGTTCTGCCGCCCGCCAATAGTCCACCTATCCGGCCGCCTACATCTCTACCGAATTTTAAGCCCTGAGTCCCCGAATCCAAATCATATATTCGCGCACGCCCCGCCCCATTCTTCCAAATTTGAACACTCTGGGCTGGAGAACGAAGTAGGTACTACACTTTTCGCGCAGGTCCCACCCCTAGCGGACGAAGCCCAGCTTTGGTCAGGATGTGATATCTGTGTAATCATAATTTTGGCCCACCCTGTATATGTATATTTATATATGACCAGTTGGGCTACGCACGCTAATGCGTGCACCACATGCCCATTACCGCTTACCTACGACTTGTTAGAGGACCAATATGAACAGTATCTGTTGACTTCCCATTTTATTGTATAGCTGTTTCCTCGCCACGCTCACGTGGCATTCACACTTTTCATTGGCCTACGTAACTTTCGGGAGGACGCACAAACGGGCATACAAACAGACGCACAAAATTACCACTTTATATATCGAGACAGTCGTACCGCCCGGCTCACGCTGGGCTTCCCTCCTTCTTATGATAAAGTTGTGATAGACGGCAAACAGCAACTCCTTTGGAACGAATGATACTTTTCGGAACACGAAGTTCGATAGAGGAACACTAGGGCATGCAAACGATATCCAAAATGTGCCGATGCCTATGCGTTTGAATAGGATCTGTCTGTCTCGATCTGTCGCTGTTGATGTTAAAGGTAATGACCCTTTGAAGATTTACTGACAGGCATTCAAAGCCTTGAATGGTACTCACAATTGTTGTCGAGTCATAATAATACCATTATCAAATGTCTTCATGAATATAGCTCCTTTTATCTACGGATACATCATTAAATG